CATCATGATAGATTGTCCCAGCCAAACTGGCCCCTCTGGAACGACTGGGGAGGGCCCACTTCAACCAGGAAGTAGTCATAGAGGAGCTTCACAGATTCTAGCTCTACAGCACATTCTGAAACGACAAGAAACTATTCAAGAAAATCTCCTAGAATTGGGTAATATTGTTTTTTCTCTTCAACAAAGGACAAACGATAACCCATCTCTCTTTCTTGAACAGCCCACAACCATGGACCCTACGGCAAACCGGCATGGTCAACATATCAGAGAACCTGACATCAAGCCTTCAGAGTTTCTTGAGGGTGACACAAGGAAGTGTGGTGGTTTTCTGCTTCAGTGCAATCTGGCATTCAGCCGTGCTCCGGTAACTTACTCTTCTGACTCTTCACGTGTGTCATATATTGTTGCCTCTCTGAAATGTCCAGCACTCCAGTGGGCCAACACCTACCTCTGCCGACGTCCTGTCGAGGCCTTGCCATTTACTGACTTCATCAGAGACTTTCTCAAGGTCTTTCATTGTCCTTTGCTGCAGGAGGAGGCCACCCAAAACTATTTTCAATCCGGCAGGGGGAAGAGACGGTGGCCAAGTTTTCCATTCACTTCTGCATCATCGCGGAGGAATCCGGTTGGGGTGAGACGGCACTACGTAGTGCATTCCTTAATTCTCTCAATAGTAATATCAAGGATCAACTATTTACTAGAGAATTACCTCCCGACCTTGACGGAATCATAGCTTTAGTGATTAAAGTGGATAACAGAGCACGAGAACGTCAGGTCGAGAATAACTACAACTCCCATGAGCACTCGCCACCCGGAAATGTCTTACCTGCTCCGATTACGTCACCCTCTGAACCCGAACCGATGCAAATCGGACGCACTCGGCTGACGCCGGAGGAACGACAATACCGCATACAAAACAAGGTCTGCCTGTGTTGTGGAAAGAAGGGACACACAATATCCGCCTGTTTTCTGCGGGTAAAAGAGTAAGCCCACCAGTTAAACAGGAGATACCGGTGGGTACGATTGCTACTACTCCTGCTAATCATTTGAAACTGCCCGCTACTCTGTTTGTTAATACTGTGAATTTCTCTGTCCAGGCATTGGTTGACTCCGGGGCAGAACAAAATTTAATCAGTCAGAGCTTGGTGAACGAACTACAGATCCCGGCCCTGAAGCTGGACCAGGCCATCTCAGTTTCCGCCCTCACTGGTCAAACCATATCATCTGTTTCACACAAAACAATAAAAGTAAGGTTGGTGGTATCTGGAAATCACCAAGAAATGGGTGAATTTTTTTATTGTCGAGACACCAGGGTCACCACTCATTTTGGGCTATCTGTGGCTAAAGTTACACAACCCTCAGATTAATTGGGAGGAGGGTCGTGTCGACAGTTGGGGGTTGCGATGTTCAGCCAAATGCCTTCGCTCAGCCATATCTCCAAGTTCCGCTAAGCAAACCCCCAGTGAACCCATTGATTTATCTACGGTACCGGAAGTGTATCACTCGTTAGCTCCAGTTTTCAGTAAACAGAAGGCGCAGTTGTTACCCCCTCACAGGCCATACGATTGTGCTATCGAACTGTTACCCGGAGCTCCACTACCCACTAGCCGGCTGTATAATATCTCTGGTCCTGAAAGAGTAACAATGAAGGAGTACATCGAGGCTTCTTTAAAGAGTGGAATCATCTGTCCATCCACATCTCCCGTGGGCGCCGGTTTCTTTTTTGTGGCCAAGAAAGATAAGTGTCTACGGCCATGTATAGACTATCGAGGGCTCAATCAGATCACAATTAAAAACAAGTACCCTCTCCCACCTATTGACTCAGTCTATGAGCAACTTCAGGAGGCAACAGTATTTTCCAAACTAGATCTCAGAAATGCGTACCACCTTGTACGCATACGCCAGGGAGATGAATGGAAAACCGCCTTCAAGACTCCTATGGGCCACTTCGAATACCTGGTCATGCCTTTTGGCTTAACCAACGCCCCTGCCATATTTCAGACTCTGGTGAATGATGTGCTTCGGGACTTTCTCGGGATGTTCGTCTTTGTCTACCTAGACGACATTCTGATTTATTCCAAGAATAAGGAACAACATACTCATCATGTGAAATCTGTCTTACAGCGACTGCTAGAGAACCATCTGTATGTCAAGACAGGAAAATGTGAATTTCACGTCTCTACAGTTTCCTTCCTGGGGTTCATATTTGAGAGAGGACGGGTAAGGTCAGATCCAGATAAGATAAAAGCTGTAGTGGACTGGCCCACTCCCACAACACGCAAGCAGCTCCACCACTTCCTGAGGTTTTCTAACTTTTACCGGCGCTTTCTCAGGAACTATAGTAAAGTTGCTACCCCTCTAACCCGATTAACGTCCTCCCTCAGGAGGTTTAGTTGGCCTCCAGAGGCAGAGAAGGCCTTCGCTGATCTCAAGACTCTGTTTTCAATGGCTCCCATTCTGTCTCACCCAGATGTCAACAGACAGTTCGTGGTGGAGGTGGACGCCTCCGAATCTGGGGTGGGGGCTGTTCTCTCTCAGAGGTCAGTGGAGGATAACAAGCTTCATCCCTGCGCCTTTTTCTCTCGACGCCTCTCTCCAGCCGAGAGCAACTACGATGTTGGGGATAGGGAGCTTTTGGCCATAAAGATGGCATTGGAAGAGTGGCACCACTGGTTGGAGGGAGCTGAGTCTCCATTTATTGTCCTCACTGACCATAAGAATCTGGCGTATCTACAGAACGCAGAGACTCAATGCTTGGCAAGCACGATGGTCACTGTTTTTTGCCAGGTTTCATTTCTCCATCTCATACATTCCAGGGTCACGTAATGTGAAACCGGATGCCCTCTCACGGCAGTTCACCACAGCTGAATAACTCAATACTCCCACCAACATCCTTCCTCCATCCTGCATGGTGGGCGTCATGACGTGGGAGATCGACAAGGTGATTCAGGATGCACAGCAGACTGAACCAGACCCAGGTACTGGCCCCAGGGATAAGAGATTTGTCCCTTCCTCCGCCATCAGTAAGGCACTTAACTGGATTCACTCTGCAAAGTTTACTTGTCATCCAGGTATCCGCCGCATGCTGCATCTCACCAAATCTCACTTTTGGTGGCCCACCCTGGATAAGGATGTCAGGGACTTCGTCGCAGCTTGTCCTACCTGTGCACGAAGCAAACACAGCAATCAACCCCCGGCGGGGCTGTTGTTACCCCTTCCCATCCCTAGCCACCCCTGGTCCCACATTACCCTCGACTTTGTTACCGGTCTACCCATCTCCGATGGTAACACCACCATATGCACAATTATTGATCGTTTTTCCAAGTCTGCCCATTTCATCCCTCTTCCTAAGCTCCCCTCTGCTATGGAGACAGCCCAACTGGTAACCGTACACGTTTTTTGCCTTCACGGCATCCCTGTGGACATTGTTTCAGATAGGGGCCCCCAGTTTATTTCACAGGTCTGGAGAGGTTTCTGCCAGGCAATCGATGCCTCTACCAGTCTGTCCTCAGGATACCACCCTCAGTCGAATGGCCAGACTGAGCGGTGTAACCAGGAACTGGAGGCCATGCTAAGGTGTGTCACCCTCAATAACCCATCTTCTTGGTCCCAACAGTTACCATGGGTCGAGTACGCCCATAACTCTCAGGTGTCCGCTGCTACAGGGAAGTATCCATTCGAAGCCTCACTGGGGTACTCCCCCCCTCTGTTTCCTTCACAAGAAGTGGATGTAGGCGTTCCTTCTGTACACCTTCACATCAGGCGTTGCAGGAGGACCTGGCATGTCACCAAAAGGGCTCTTTCCAGGTCAGTCGAACAAAACAGACGGTTCGCTGACAAACATCGGACAGAGGCACCCGCCTACCAGGTCGGGCAGAAGGTGTGGTTGTCCACCAGGGACATCACTCTCAAGGACACTCCTCGCAAGCTGGCCCCATGGTTCATTGGTCCCTTCCCTGTGGTCAATTTAATAAATAGGTCTGCTGTACGTCTGCAACTCCCCGCTTCCATGAAGTTATACCCTACGTTCAACATCTCCCTCCTGAAACCAGTGACTACCAGTCCGTTACACCCTCCTACCGACCTCCCTCCACCCCCCCCCCCCCCGTCTGATTGACAACAACCTTGTGTTCATGGTCCGATGCCTTCTAGATGTGAGACGTCGGGGCCGTGGTTTTCAATATTTGGTAGATTGGAAGGGCTACGGTCCTGAGGAACGTTCATGGGTTCCTCAGTCACGGATCCTGGACCCCACTCTCATCTCTGACTTTTTTAGGGACCACCCTGAAAAGAGGTGGAAACCGCCAAAAGGCGGTTCTTGGGGGGGGGGGCTCTGTAGGATCCCTGGTTTCTCCCTGGCCTGTCTGCACTCACTCTCTCCATAGCTCATCTCTAATTACCCTGATGAGATCCACCTGCTGTTTTCCTAAGGAGGACTGATCGTGGTTGCCTACTTAAGCTGCAGCCAGACATCTCTCCACTGCTGGGACAACTTCTGCCTATGGGACCTCCATGTCCTGCTCCTCTGAAGTCCTTCCACAGGCCTCGTCCAGCACTCCACGGTGCACCTACAAAAGCAGCAGAGTCTGGTCTCATCAGCGGTTAAACAAATTACTGGGTCTACCTGTTCCTCTCTCTACCATGTCTCACCTATTCATCTCCATAGAAACCAGGACCTCAACTCTCCCTCTGCGCCTTCCCCTACAACAACAAGTAAGACGACTTTGTTCATCTCAAGAATCTAAGTCAACAATATTGGATACTCACTTCTCCACCATTCTTTTCCAGCTCACCTCTCCAACTCACCTGTAAATAAAGAACACTTATTTTTTATTCCTGGTTGTCGTGTCTTCTTCCTCAGTCTGCCACTTTGGGGTCCAACATACGACATCATGATAATCAGAGTGTCAAATTGCTTTTTTTAATAATTCCAGTATCAGTTGTAGTAAAAGCCACTACACTACTGCCATTAGCTCAACCATAGTGTTTGTGTTTTTAAGGCCGTATCTCTGGGTGTGGACCTCCATATGCTTACCAAAGCCACCAAAGGGGAGGAATGGTCCAGACCAAGACTGTGTCACATTGCCAGACATGCAGAACATGGTCTTGGAATGACCATCAGTCTAATAAATGGTAACTTCCACTGCAGTCACCTTTTTACACTTTACTCAATACACTTTTACAACAATGAGTCTGTAAAATTTGGTGTTGAAAGTCCTAAAAAATAAAGGACAAAAAGGGAGAGGTTTTTAACATGAATGTTTAAAATAAATCTATCAGATACACCAAAGTTCATGTTCAATACTCCAGTTAAAAAATCCAGCAAAGTGTAAG